TTCATTTTTTTTATTACATCATTCAAAATTTCTTTTTACAAATTATTTTTTAAAAATACGTAATTCGATAAAAATTTTCAACATATGTATAATATTGTGTATAGATAATATCTGAAATAAAAATTATGTTAAATTATAAATTAATCAAATATTAAATGATTGAACATGTGATAGAAAATGGGTGATGTGATAGTTTTGAAGGGGAAAATGTATAAAATTTAACTTCCTATGTGATTTATTATATAAATTTTTCAACCAAAGAAATATACGTTGATCACATAATTACATTATGAGTGTTTCAATTTATTCAATACAAAAATTTAAACATAAATAATGTAGCAAAATTTAAATAACTAATCAAATATTGTTGAGCCACTTATTTGTCGGCTCTGTGAAAGGGCAATGCTATGTAGACCTTATTTAGCGGCTTTATTATTATATATATCATTAAATTGAAAGTACACCCAACTATTTGTCTGAATCCATTATCAATTTAATGACTATAATTCATTATTTTACCAAATAAGGTCATTAAATTATGTATACAAAGTATTTTCCATCGTGAAACTTCTACAGTATGAATAAATAACTAATTAATTTATTCACGTGAATTTCTCATGTCTAATTTTCATTATTTTTTATGATCTAAAATTAATTTTTGAAGTTAATTACAAAATATTCAAACTTAAAGATAGTTATTTATTGAAATTGAAACTTGAAGGAGTGAATGATACACTATCCAAAATTTAAGGGGTATTTTATAATTAACCAAAAAATTTTAGTCAAATTAGCATCGTTGTATTCAATATCCATGGCACTAGAGTGATTACCTACTTCTAAGGTCCACTATTATTGGGATGGATATCGTTTAAATAAATTATAATCCAGTCCTGCTTGCTTGTTTGATAATGATACTTCATTATTGTAGCGGTTTGAGGTTAAATTAGATAATGTTTCCATCATTTTGTCACACAAGGTTTTAAGTAATCCCACTATTATGAGAATATTGTATTCAGCGACAGAGTTAGGATTTTTGTTTAGTGAAGATAATATTTAACTCACTGTTAAATTAAAATTATAATGTTAAGACTATTTAATTACATCACAAACACATGAATTCGTTTATAATTAGGTCTAATCTCAGGGTTACAAAGTTTAAACTATAATTTTAAGTTCTATTTTAATTTATATTTGAGACACACACACACTATAGGAACTAAAAAGATAGTCGACTAAAATATAAAAATTAATGTTATTTGAATCTAAAAAATTAATTTAATTTGATGATCTAATGATGTGACTGTTAATATAGTCCAATAATATTATTCTAATCACAACTCGTACACTTCTTATTGGGATCCACATTATTTTGAAAACATAATTAAGTTAGTAAATTAAGTCAAATTTTTAGTTCCCCAAAATATTATTCAAGTATAAAAACACTCATAAAATTTTAAAAAAAATTAGTGGGAGGGGCAAATTTTAAAAAACTTAAAAATTTGAAATGAACCCAAAAATATTAGAGGAAATCACACTTAATTTAATTATTCACGTAGCAGAGGCAGACATAGTCACCAAAATGTATTCCATTTTTTTTTTAGTTTAATGATTATGGTTATTCGAGTCAGTTTAGGCGCATTTCGATTTCAGTTTGAATAAAAAAAAGTCATTCATAGTAGAAATAGAATATTCATGAAGAATAAATCTCTTATGACTTGATTTTAAAAAATTACCAACATTTGAATTTAAAAAATTTATGTTTATAATTCGTTTCTATTCGTGTTTGAACTTTACTAATATTTGGTAGATGCTAAGTACTGTGTTGGAACCCTGGCAGATGCTAAGGACTATATTGGCATCCGACAAATGCTCTGGCCTGCGCCTAGTCACAACAAAAATTATTAGTCCCATTTAGTACCACAACATTGGTGGAAAATGGAAATGGTGGCTTCTGCATTGGTGCCTCTTCACGTGTCATGTCATCATCGTTTGACGTTATTATTTAATAATAAATTAATTAATTAATAAAATTTAATAAATATTAACAACTATCACATTCAATAAATTAAAAACATCGAATGTTGTAGACGTTCTATTAGACAATGACATTATGGAGATGGAGATGTGTCACCATTAAATTAAATGTTGTGGGGGCACATGGACTTAAAAAATACATATAAAAAATAAATTTAATAATTATAACCATTGATTTCATTATAGATCCTAATATTTATTGAAACTCATTATCTATTCAATGGTTGAGATTATCAAATTTAATATAATACTGACATTACATTATCAATAGCACGTGATATTCATACTTACCAATCAGTGATAGAATATCAAGTGGACTCAGTGAGTTCCGTTATTTTAGTAATTACCAATAATTATTTTATCTAATAATTGTTATGTTGGAATAATGAAATTCATTAATTTTATTTGTTGTTTTATAATTAATTAAATGATATTAATAACGTGGTGTCACAGTTAGACCAACTTTAAGACAGTTTACAGTTAATCGTCGTTTTCCTCGCTCCCACGCAATCCACTCTACTATGTTTGGCATAGTCTTTAGTAACTGTTTTAACTTTAAGCATTATTAGTTAGAATTAGTCAAATGCTGCGCTTTTGCAATTTGGGCCACAAATTAGAGTTCCTAAGCATGTCTTTATCATGTTATCTTGTGCATATAATAGCGTCCACTTACTTCTTTATCCAAAATCAATATTTCAAAAGGCACAAAGGTGATAGATGCACCGCACCTGTACCTGTCTTTGGACCACCCAGCAAGTTGCATGCAACTGTGTCATATGAAACCGGTTAGGACTATTTACTTTTTGGTTAAGAGTACTTGTAAAACGTCTCTTCTTGTTTTATTGATTGATTAGTACAAATAAACTCAATGAAAATTAAATAGTCTCTAATTATTCAATAACTACAATCTAATTAGTTTAATGATTGAGTCTGATATTTAATAATTTAGAGATTTTTAAATTATTTTTTTTTTCATACACTCTAATTATTAGTCACTTTTGTTTTATAGGGACATACGCTAATTCAATTGGACTAACTCAAATTACGATTGTAGTTATTGAATTCGAGGGAATAACCGGTACAAACTTAGATACCTAATAGTAAAAAAAACTCAACAATTTTTCTTGAACCAAAATAAAGATTGAGAAAGATATTAGAAAAAAAAAAATTACTTCTGAATATTGTCGCCGAAGCCATTTATAAAGAGAATTTCACTGCTGCACCATGTGACAGTGCAACTTATAAATTATTATACATTCTTCATTAATTATTGTTATTTTTAAAATTATTAAAAAAACTTAGATAAGCCAATGTCTTTCACAAACAAGTGTGGTGATAATTTTTATTTGATATTAACACTATAAGTGACATCTGCTCTTAAGCATTGGATATTTTTTTATGGAGAAATCTATGATACCGTAAAAAATGAACTTCACCACCATACAATTATTATAAATTTTGTAATTTTTTTAGAAAAATTTATGATAACTTGTTATTGATCCTGATATTTTTTAGGATTGATTATAAATTACCCCAAAAAAAAAAAAATTGACCCAAAAAAATTGTTAGTCAAACCTTAAAATATGTTATATGTGACCCAAAAAATTTGACACAACATATATATATTGTGTAAATAAACCTAAAATTTTTATCCAAATCCATAAAAGTTACAAAAATTAGAGGTAGGAATGATTTTTTTTTCACCTTATCTTCTTTTTTTTTTGCATTTGGAAGATACCTTTGATCTGATCAATCAAGACAGTGCACAAGGATGATGAGACAGATGGGTGATTCGGAGGTTGAAAGACCAATTTATCGCATGAACAATTAAAATCCCGAAGAAATGGGAACCCTAGATTCACCTCCCGTCGCCAGCACAGTTATCGTTAACGTCCTCGCCATCGCCGGTCAGCTCTTGTCGCTCATCGTTTCCTTCTCTCATTGTCGTACAACGTCGGCGTCGTCCGTAATCTCTTTTCCTTTAAGTCTCACACCCTCTCATTACTACTTCACAGAAATGTGCATCTCTCTTCCTTCTCACCCCCCCCCCCCCGGGGTGTCTCTCTCTCTCCTCTGGCAGAGAGGCGCGAAGAAATGGAGGAGAAACGAGCCAGTCTGGCGATTTGGTATTATGGAAGGTAAATTATTTGGGAAAATTACATTCACACCCATTGTGTTTTACTATAATTACATATAATTCCATTGTATTTGTGATATTATATTGATACCCTTGCTACAAAAAGCTGAAACGGATGTTAGCTGTCACTTATTTGTTTTACTCGCAACATAAACCTCTTTCGACAACAGCAATTTTGTTGCCAGACATGTTATTGGCTATTGTTCGACGTAAATTGAGATGAAAATTAGTGGAATTCTTTGGTGGTGATTCTAGTGGTAGTAGGGGTGGAAAGATGTTTGAATTTCTTTCTTCCATTTTAGTTAGGTTTTAGTTTAAGTTTGCCTGTTTGTGCTTGTGGTTCATAACTATAAAATGGCTATTTGTCAACAAAGAGGATGAAATCAAAAGGTTTCATTGGTTGTCGGGTGTCCCTAAATGGAGGATACATTGTGGAATAAATATCCAAAATCAAAGAATGCGTATAATGTCTAAAAAGTTTGAAAATTTATGTGAATCTTAAGAGATGTAAATATAATATTTCCTTGCGACATTAAGATATCATAGTCCGATTCGATCCGAGGGGGGTGCCATTGCCTTTTTCACTTTTCGCACAATATTAGAAAAAATATGACAACATATTACAAGGTAAAAAGGGTAGAATGAATAATGTTGAGGGAGAGAGTGTTATTATTAGAAATTAGAGGGAATGGCTTTGTGTTATACGTGGGGATATGTGTTTGGACCGGGAAGAGTGTGCCTAATACATACCATCAAAATCAATTTCGTCCTTTTCCTTCAATATTATTCGACGTGAGAGACACAGAGGAGAGAGCAACACCTTATCGTTAGCTCCAAAAGATCTTCAACACAAAAGGCAAAGGAGAGGGAAGAAAAACACACAACCTAACTAACATTTCCTCTTCACTTTCTCTGTCTTCCATCATATAAAGAACATTAAGCTAACCGCCAATTCCTCTTCACTTTCTCTATCTTTCCATTCATAGAACATATCACAGGTAGGACTGACTTAAGATAGACAATTCGTGTGCTTTTTGTGCCAGAGGTTTTTTCGGAAGGGTACTTTCACAAAAGAGAGAGAATTTGAGAAAGGGAAAATACAGAGAGCGAGAGAGATTCTGTGAGCTGGAGGACACTCAATGGAGAGAAATCGATGATTTACCGTGAATCGTCGCTTCCGAATTTGCTTTTTTGCTGTGGAATTGATAAATATACAAGTTTAATACACTGAAAGAGTTACGGTGAGTTCGAACTTCGAAGCCTATAACTTCGTTGATTACACTAAACTGCAGCATATACTGTTCTTGCTTCTCAATTCAAATCGATTACATATTACAAATTGCAGGCAATGAGTTACTATGTCCCTGATTTTGAAATGGACGAAGACTATCCGATTCTGTCATCCTCATCAGGTTTAACCAGGTCAAAGAAATCAGCAATGTAAGTTTGTCCTTTAGTTCTTTGCTCTGCTAGTAGGATATTTATTTCGCTCTATCATCGGATTGAATTAGATTGAACAGGGCTGAGGAGGACGATCTCATGGAGCTATTATGGCAAAACGGACAAGTAGTAGTCCAAAGCCAGAACCAAAGATCTTCCAAGAAATCTCACGTAGCCGAGGAGGCGGTCATCCCCGCCCCACAATCTAGTACCAGAGAGATCCGATCGGAGAATGAAACCACAACTCACTTATTCATGCAAGAAGAGGAAATGGCCTCATGGCTTCACTATCCAATCGATGAATCTTCCTTTGACCGTGAAATCTACGCGGATCTTTTCTGTACAACGCCGTGCGCTCTCGTCACCGCCCCTTCCTCACGAGAAGTCCGGCCACCACTACCGCCGGTCACGTCAGGGACGACGACTGTCGCTTCTCGGCCACCGGTGCCTCCGGCGCGGCGTGCAGAGGTGGAGAGACCTGCTATGTTTCAAAGTTTCACACACTCCATAAGACCAAAAGGAAGAATGGCATCAGGACCGTCTAGCTCAAACAAGGCCGTGAGAGAATCGACGGTCGTGGATTCGAATGACACCCCAAGTATGGGGCCAGAATCTAGAGTTTCGCGTGTGACGGATAGTGTGGCTCAGGTTTCAGGCGCGCATATAGGCGTGTGCAGGACCATGAGCGGCACTGATGCGGCGGGTACGTCGTCCGCGGCAATGGAGTTGGCGACCACGTGTGAGCTCACCATGACGTCATCTTCAAATAATTCCGGAGGCAGCGTCAGCGCTAGTGCGGAGCCGGTGCCGAAACCGACGCCGGAGAAACCAGAAGATCGGAAGCGTAAAGAAAAAGAATTTCACAGTGAGGTATGTCTATTCGTTTTCGTTGTGCTGCTTTTTTTTCCCCGTGAATTCGTCTCGTCCAACGTACCCAGGTGCACTTGATTCGTTTATCACATTAGTTTAGTTTAGTGAGATGCACTAATGTTGGTGATTTATAGTTGGTCACTTTATATTAAGAATAAGATTATGCTATAAAGATGGCATTATAAAAATAATAACATAATTTAAAAAAACAAACAAAGTTTTTAACTAATTTACACCCATTTTTGGGTCCATGATAATAAATATTTTTGAGAAAAATACCTGTTACATTCTTATTATATGAAAATTGAAATTATGATTCGAGAAATATTATTTGGATTTAATTTGAGACCTAATCTGAATACTTTATTCAATATAACTATTGAAAGTGGATTTCATTTTAACATTAAAATTTTTAACTAATTTAATAATTGTATTAAATTAAATTTCTAAATTAACATTGCCCTTATTGCCATGCTAATGAGGAGAAAATATTCATTGCAAGAGTGACACCATATCACCGATGTCAGGTGGGGTCATCATTCAATTAGAAGATAATAAATAGATAAAGTGAATCCCACTAATTCTATGTGTTACTAATTGGTGGTAGTGGTTATTAGTAATTATAAAAATAATGAGGTTCACTTTATTTATTTTTGGTTTTTTAATTGCATAGTGACAACATGCGACAGTGATGTCATCATTGCATTGAATATTAACTTGCTAATAAGATCACTACTCTTTGAATATTTAGAATGTAATGGTAATATTTTGTTAACATCGATTACATGGTACTATTTTTCTTATTTATAGAATCTTATATTTCTTGACTAAAAAAAAAATGACAAGATACCATCGTTGTAATGAATAGGTTTTACTAGAATGGCCACATAACCTCCTGCTCGGAAACGTGGCATCGCCTAGGCATTCAATCGGTTTGTTTGCTTTTATATTCTGCCACGTGGATGTGAACAGAAGCTTTCACATAATTGCATAGATAATCTATCTATGATAGGTCCAGTTAGCCGGCGGTAAAATAACAGTGACAAACAAATTCCCAAAATCCGAGTGATGATGTAGATTGTGACTATAAGAGTCCAATTTTAGCGCATATCACGGGACTGTCTCTTCGTCCCATTATGATTTTGCGTTTTGGGTAGTGGTTTGGGGTCTTAGGTCGAGATGGTGAATGAATGTTTGGCCTTCTATAATGTTTCCCCCTTCATACTAATGAGCATTGTCACAAACACCCATGTGCTTGATATATACGTTCATGCCCAATAAATTACTAAAATGATATGCATTTAAGATTATAGCAATGGGATGCCCCTATGGCTTGTGATACTATGTTTTGTCTGGTTCTAATAATGAAAATCATTCCATACTTGCGACTTTTATTTTTGATTTGTCCATCACAAACTTGTCAATGATAAATTTGAAAACAAAGACAGACTCAAAAAAAAAAAAAGATCATAGCAAGAGAGATGCTCCCATAACGGTAAAGAATGTTTTAGGCTTAGTTTTGGACCAGGAAACGATTTAAAAATATTTTACTTCCATTGAATTGTGACATTTCTAGTAAAATTTTAGAGAGAGACTAAGATTTGTTTCTTAAGATACAAATCAAACTAACGTTTCTTGAATTAGTGAATATCTCAATATTTATATATTTTTGGATCACTAACCTCCTAGGAAATTAGAAATAATATATACGTAGTTCATGCTTTAAGTCGGTACCTTAAAATGTTCGTATGACAATCATTTGTATATGAGGGTATCAAGTTAATAGTAAAACCGCATTGTTCTGTTTGGTTTCAGTGTCCTATTAATAACTTAGATGGCCATCACAAAACTAAACGGTACTTTCATTTACCTTAGATTGCAAAGGATTGAAAATGAATTTGTTCCAGGACAGGAGTAGGAGCCTTGATCATGGAGAAGGGTGGAAAACAAGCACGTATTTTCTTTCATGCACTTCGTCGAAACAGTACATATCCTTTTAAGTTTTTATGAAACTGAAGGACATATCTAGGGCAGGCAGCGGAGATCAATAAGTATGTAAGTATTGATAGATTTTGTTGAGCAGTGAACAAAAAAGCATTTGACAATTTGACAAAGATTGAATTCCTAATCAAGAACGGAAAAATCGAAAGAGGCAAAGAAAGAAATAACAATCTGAAAAATTAATTGGTACAGCAATCAACCAAGTGCAAAAAAAATTAGAAATGAGAATAGAGTTACTAGTAAATTAATTCACACTAAGAGACCAACAGATATACTCAGATGGGACTGGGAAGCTATAGTGCTGGACCAAACAATTTATTTTCGGTACATAATCTAATCCAATATTCTTTTTTTATTGCATGTGGTAGGCATTATTCACTGGCTAGGGTAGGATGTCTGCTGCTGAAGAGTAGGCATCAGATACTGGCATGATGTAGTGGGAGATAAGTTGCTTAAGTGAACCATAGCTATAGACTCAAAAGCGGTACAATATGATCCTCACAATGAAAGCTTTTAATAAAATGATAAATTTGGATCCATCACTTTAACCTCTATCTAATGCTAGCTCCTGCAGGAAAACTAGCAGTACCAATCAAAAAAACTAAGAAATCTCATAAATGTTGTATTGTTTTGACTTTTTATGGTGCTGGTTATCTGCTGAATTACTAATATTATGCGCCTTATTTCCTTCTTTCAAGTTAGCCTTTTTTTGAGTTCTGCTGTTTTCTATTGCCAAAGGATGTTGAGTTTGAATCTGCTGATGCAAAGAAGCAAGTCCGTGGATCAATAACTATGAAGAGATCTCGTGCAGCAGAGGTCCACAATCTCTCAGAGCGGGTTTGTGTATTTTTCCCTTTTTTTTTCATGGATACTATTAGTTGTGGTATAATATATGTAAGAGGTAGAAATCGCTACGGATCTCATCCCTCCACTTGAAGGATTCCAGCTGACCTGGAGGCACCGAGTCTCAGTAGCCTTTACCTCTCTTCGCCAATAGGACCCTTTCCTAACACAATCCCACATCAGAAGAGAGTAGTCTTCCCCCCTGTCATATAAGTGAACACTTTCTATGGAGGAGTTACCCACTAGGCACCTGATCAGGTCGCTAGTGGGTACCTCTTCCATAGGAAGTGTTCAATTATATGGCAGGGGGAAGACGACTCTCTTCCGATGTGGGATTGCCTTAGGAAAAAGTCTTATTGGCGAAGAGAGGTAAAGGCTACTGGGGCTCGGTGTCGTCAGGTCAGCCGAAATCCTTCAAGTGGTGAGATGAGATCCGTAGCAATTTCTACCCCTTACAATATATTTTATATTTTATTTACTCACGTTCGTATGCTTAATGGTCTGATATTGCATCTCATGCAGAGGCGTCGAGACAGGATAAATGAAAAGATGAGAGCTCTGCAAGAACTCATACCTCGTTGCAACAAGGTTTGTAATCTTGTTTATCTTTTATCCATGCGTCTCATCGGTACAAAAGCACTATTTTCTGAATTAAATGTTCTCCCATGTATTTGTCTGACATTTTTTTCTTTTTTTTCCTGAGTTTCAGTCTGACAAAGCTTCAATGCTAGATGAGGCAATTGAGTACTTAAAATCTCTTCAGTTGCAAGTTCAGGTAGATTTTTTTTCTTTATTCGCTTCTTGGCTGTTTGTGTCACCTTTAAAAAATTTGATTTTCTGTTTCTTCACCTATTTTGGAGCTTGGAAGTTCTTTTCTCAAAGTCTATGAATGCTTCTTCCTTCCGTCCAGGCTGTAAATTGAAAGCTGCTGGTTGCATGGGACATTCAGATTTTCAAGAGTGACTTATACTCAAAAAATTGGGAACCTTTTTAATATCACAAATGCTTTAGTTATGATAATCAATCACCTAAAGTGCCAGCCCCACAAACTAAAAATTAAATTCAACTTTAGGCGAGAAATCTGTGGGGCTGCTATTGTGTTCCTGAATATAACAACCTTTGTTTAATGGAATATTTCGGATTTGTATGTTGTTGAACTCCTAATATGCCCAAGGGTGAAAATGAAAGATCATGAGAGTTTCACATGGTTTTTGCTTTCAAAGTTTAATGCAATAGCATTTTCCAGACGGGTTCAAAGCCCAAAATTGCAAACACCCCCGTTGTTTCATCATCATGTGCAGGTCTCAAGCTTCCCATATACACCAAGACAATGGAGTTTTCTCTAACCTCGATTTAGTGGAATATTTGCTTGATCATTTTGCCCCAAAAAAAATGAATGGGAAGACTGCTCCATGCTTGGTGGAACAGATACCATGTCCTTTATATCTTTGTTTTCAAGTTAAAGCTAGGTCCATTGACCGTATAAATTAACGTAGTAAGTACTTGAGTATACAATGCTGCTTACCTTGCCTATTGCCTTGTTTATATATATAGAGAACTGAAGAAATCTTAGCCCATACATTTTAAGGAAGAAATACCACTTTTTTTGCAGATGATGTCCATGGGATGCAGTATGGTCCCTATGATTTTTCCCGGTATTCAGCAGTACATGCCACCAATGGGGATGGGGATGGGCATGGGCATGGGCATGAACCAACCAATGGTGCCATTCCCCTCTGTTCTACCAGGTTCAACGCTGCCAACCCCACCTGGATCAGCTCATTTGGGTCCAAGGTTCTCTATGCCAGCCTTTCATATGCCACCAGTTCCTTTACCTGATGCATCCAGAATCCAAGCAACTAATCAGCCAGATCCAATTTCTATCGCATCTCAAAATCCCAACCAGCCACAGATTCCAAATTTTGCTGATTCAGCATATCAACAGTATATTGGTCTACGCCATATGCAAGTACAGTTTCCTCAGGCATGTTTGCACTCTATTTAATGTAACCTTCATGTAAAATTTGTACATTCATAAGACATCAATTAGGCATTTACATGTAAAATCCAGTGTCACCATTTCCATTGTCACATCTTTCAAGGTTGGTTGTCAGAAAATTGAGTGTCTCACTCAAAACCCAGATCATTGCATTTCCTCCATCTCATTTAATGTAGCCATAATATTAGATTCAATATTTCCAGTTGTAGTTCCGTTGAGCGATCTAGCAGGAGAGGCATTGCCTCCGTCAGCCAATGCAACGATTAAGCTCACTCTGCTTCTTTTTTGTGATCACCAGTACTTCTGAAATGTTGGTTTCCTATACTGATTGTGTCCTTTAATTCTTTTTGCAGACTCAAGCAGTTGTGCAACCAGGTCACCATAAGCCAGGTAGGAGCAAAGAAGTTGGGAAGTCTCAGAATCCTCAAGCTGGTAAGCTGATTAATCTGATAATTATGTTTAAATTATTTATAAACGTGATGGACTTTAAATGAATGCTGGGTAAAAAGGAAATGAATTAGGAAATGGAGCACCTTTTAATAGTATGAGATTAGAAACTTCATCGATTTATTAAAGTAAAGCAACATACTTATCCAACTTTAGGCCTCATTTAGAGGGGTTTTTTTTTCCAACACTTGTGCACCTGAGGCCTCTAGCTAGGCTGGTTTCTAGATTGTAACCCTTTGTTGCCAGTATTTTTTCATGCATACGCCTAACCCTGGCCAAATTCCGTAGTGGTAATAGTCTCTTGTACGTAATTATTCCTTATTTTTTTATACGACTAGGACCCCTACATGGGGTTTCCTCAATTGTGGCACACTGTTGCCAGTACCGATTGCTCTCATTGTGGTAACTTAAGTGTTTGGCCATTGTCGTTTGCATGGAGATCGGTTGAAGCACCATTTATATTGTTAATTTCAATGTTAATTTTGTAAATTGCAGGTTGATTTTTTGGCGATGATCAAAGGCTATCAAGCCTGCTAAATTTTGTAGTGTTAAGAGAGACTACGATATAACATAACATGTAATTATTACCCACTAGTAATTTTTCTTCTTACATTTTTTGGCTTTGTAATCCTCTTTCGATCATTTGATATGTGGATGTGCTTCAAGTGAGAACTGAGTGATCCCCAAAGCCTGTTCTCACGACGGTGACAACTTTTGCGGGGCGGGCCTACGTTTTGGGATAGAGAAACATTATGACGCATGTTCGGCGCTGCTGTTGTTATTTGTCTTCTCTTTCCAATTGTTGGGAGCCGACAATAGTGCAGGGCAAAAGAGGTGGTGGTTGCCAGCCCGGCCCGTCCTACCCTTCCTTTTTTTGGTCACTACTTTCATGACCATTGGTGATTGGTGACGTGCTTTTATGCTGCTTAAGATATCGACTGTTCCGGACCAAAAAAAAAACAATACTGTTTATGTCCAGAAGATCATTGAATTCCCAGACGCCACAAACATACTATCTCACAAGAGTATCATTTTCAGAATTTACCATGTTGTCCAAATCAAGTCAAATTTCTCCTTCCAAATACATTTGCACCTTACGGTCTCAAAAAAATTAGCTTTCTAAGGTTCTTACAAATGTACTTGAGATGAGAAATTTATGTTTTGATTGGAGTAACTTAGCATTTCCGATTTATTTTCTGGGTATCAAGCTGTACAACTAGCAATAATTGATCTCCCTTTTCCTCCCCACTTTCAGTTTTTTTTTTGGGAAAGTGCTATGTATTTTTAAAAAAAATTTACCAAATGAATGTGATTAGCCGAACTATCTTTGGCATTGATAAGAAAAAGAAAAACAGCATTTCGGCTAAATCACTTTTGTTGGTAGTGAAGATCTATGATAAATGATGAGAGACTTTCAACTTCAACATAGGCATAGCTATAGTGCCAGATATCCTTGGTCATAATATAGCTCTTCAAAGAAAATTGTCAACACAAGGATGTAATTAAAAGGGATTGGATCTATTCCAATACACTTTTGTCCCCGATTTTTTTTAATGGTAAATCACCATCTACGAACTAATGGAGAACATATTATATGTTGACCGACCCTTTATCAATACACCGGTGATCCACTACATATAGAAATCGAGGAAAAGTGTAATGAAATGCATTTGGATCCATTAGTATATTATAAGTGAAAATCACAAATTTGGCAGCATTTAGAGATCCAAAAAAGGGTAAGAAGAAGCAAGATATACTTAACTGGAGGGTAATTTATCGCTAGAAAAATACATTTGGTGCTGATAATAAATTAATATACTTAACTGGGGACCATATCGTCTGACCTGTCTCAGATACTTCCGAGCAGAGGCAAAGCCAGATTTAAGTCAGAAAAATATGCCAAAATCATAGCTTTAAAACAGGCCACAATCAAGGGATAATGTCGTCAGCTGGCTACAATGCTTTGCTATTCCCACTAATGGTACACAAAATCTGTGAACAGAGGAAAACAGTTAACAGCCCTTCAAATCTTGTCTGCCCCAAATGAGAACATAAGCAGGAATAATGAACGTGTGTTGCACAATAGCATATCCACTGGAAAAAACACACCATAAAAAGGGAATACTGATACCAATTGCATGTGATACCTTGTCAGTAAACAACCGGAACACCTCTGTTTCCATTGCCTTGTCGAGCTCCTAACAAAGGACAAGAAAAACTCAGGCAGAGTTTTCTTGAAATCTCTTATCCGTGAAGGTTGATTTAGCATCAGATAGCATCTGGACAATATACATTTGATGAACCTGATTAATAATACTTACATTTACCCACCAAAATATAGTACTTACATTCTCAGCATCTGGAGAAGTATCTATGTTGTATATGAGTTTCTGAAGCTCTTCATCCTCCAAAGCATTACGGATTTCACTACAAGAAGCTGCACCGGAAAAGTTGGCAGTACAAATGTTAGGAGATCTTTCATCCATTGCTGCTCAATATTACATTTTACCAACAGTATTAATTAATGGTGAAGTCAAAACATGAAGGGTGGATAACGCTGATAAAAACAGCACAGAAACCTGATATTTTGTGTATTGGACAAGAGACCCCCCTAACGGAACTGCTAACACCAATAAAATGTAAGTTCTTAATTCAAATTTATGCCTATTAATGTTTAACTAAGTCGTAACGCTCAATTCTTGCACGGCATTACTCAAAAATGCCGACAAGCATAGTTGTTAGTATCGTACAATATGAAGGTAAAACGATACGGATCGTAGTTATGTATCGTTTTTGCGTCGTATCGTCTGATACACGATACGTTTTTACGATACGATACGTATCGGTACGATATGACCGATACGCGCAAAACCTTTTTTTTTTTTTCCTGAAACGACGTTGTTTTATCTAAGTGAGACACTAATTTGTTTATCCCCGCCACTGATGAAACGACGTCGTTTTGTTTAAATAAGACATTAATTTTTTTTTTTGTATAAAAATTTCTGAATCTTGATTAATTTTATGGATTGAGTTCAAAATGAATGTTAAAAATTTGGATTAAAAGTCTCTTTAGTGTTTTTGAAATTTAAATTAGTGAACTATGGTTATAAACTTTGCATTATAATATTAGTGAACTATGTTGATGACTTGAATAGGTGGTGAAGTATTAATGAAATGATATATTTTTATGAGGGTATGATTTTTTTTCCAAGGTATATATATATTTTTATTATTTATTTAAAATTTCACCGTACTTTACGATACACTATTTTTAAAAAATAATATACCTTCCGATATACGATTTGATAACTATGCCGTCAAGGGGTTCCTATCTCATTTATTAAAGGTTAGGGATTTTCGTATTGTTTTGCCAAAACACATGAAGGGTCCATATGATTTATTCAAAATAAAACCTGGAATTCGACCAAATTTTCCACCATCGCGGAAGAAGATTCTGAGTAAAACCAGGTTAAAGCTCTAAATTCTGCCTATTCATTTTAAATATCCAAGTGTCTGTGGTTTTCAAAGTTATGTTAGAATATTGTTTTTCTCTTAAGCCATAAACTAGTTTTTAAAACCTGGAGTCTTGATTTGGGCCACATATATAATCCTTAAGGTTACTAGTAATTCCACTGAGAATCCAGATTTTAACATGGACAAAATGACCAATGCACCCCCAATAAGAGTGATCCTTGAAAAGGCTTCAATTACCAAATAATCTAATAACGACCTGATCTAAACTCTGGTTTATTAGACTTCTATTCAAGTGATGATTGTATTCTGTTATTGTATTGAGCGTACAAACCTAGAACGAGACATGAACGTCATTGCAGCTGTCAACATCTGATACATGCTAACCAGAAAGAATTTATGGAACAGATGCTGCAACAGTTTTTCTTTCCCTTCCCTTTTTTTTTTTTTTTTTTTCCCTTTTGCATTTTTAATTTCTTGATGAAAGCTGACCAATTTACTGGCATCTACTTTTGCAAATTTGAAGTTCCAAGGAAAATATGCTTAACTATTCCACGATCACCAGAAAGCTCCAAAGCTTTCATTGAATGTCTTGATGTCGACATACTGATCATCGTGAGTTTGGACTCATAATATACTTGTTGATGTTGACTTCTTAAAACTCAGTCTAATTATGAGTTTGTTTTAGCACTAAGCAGTAAGCAACCCAAACCCTTCCCTAGCATAAAGAATATCCAATGTATAATAAAAAATTAGTTTGAAAAGCACACCTGTAGCCTCTAGTTGCAAATTTTGCAGCACCTCACTCTGTTCGTCAACATAATATGGTCTTTCAACATGCAATGCTGCACCTGGAGCTGATAAATACGAAAAGGGATATGTTGGAAAGCTTAAAAGACCTCAAAGCAAAACCAATCCATCAAATCCATGCCCAAAAATGGTAATTTAAGGCATTTGATTACCAAGCCCTGAAACAACATAAGAACCTAGTAACAAGTACTCTAGAATGTGTGGGATGCTCATCAGAGTGTCAGACAGAACAAGCCCAAATGTGATATATTTGGTCATTCTTACTTCAAAGAAGCAACCAACAATTGCAATCATTTCCAAGATACGGCAGAACACATTTCTATATCGATGGAGTCGCCACACACAATTTTCCCGTTTTTTCACTTACATGGATATTACAGATGCAGTGAGGAACAAAGTTCAAACATGTCATGTAATCTATAGATTCACTTTATTGAAGGATATATGAGTATAAGCATAACAATTCAACAAAACCGTTGTGCCTTGATAACTTAGGAACAAATCAAACAGATTAAACACATGAATATGTGCCCACACTAGACATATTCGTGGCCCTCCCTGACTTCTATAACACAAATATTTTAAAGCAAACAAACATAACAGAATATAAAGTTAACATTGGGTAATAACTGAAATAGTGCAGTTAAAAAATGACTAGCAAAAGCACTTTCCTAAAAAATGAAAACTGAAGTTTGTTCTCCATGTATATTGAAGAAAAATTTCCTTTCGCAACAAAGGATATTGAGGGAGAAGAAAAAAGGCCACATTATGCAAGACTGGTGTGAAAACCTTTTTTTTTCTTATGAGAAACAAGAAGACTGCGTGAGAAAACCGTTTGAACTTTAAGGATTTGGTTCAAATTGAAAAGCAACCGATGACAATAGAACTCAGCTTGGCATTCATTTGATCCCATGTATTAATTGTGTCTTAATTCCGAGATAAAAGCTCCATTTATTGCTTCTTGCTTCCTTTTGTTTGCTTATAAAATGTTTTGCTGTGAAAGAACTTCAGAAAATAACAAATCCTATGGTTGCAAAGTTTTTGGTTCAATGGTTCCACTTCACCATCATGTCCAATAACTACAAGTTATTATAGTTAGCACTCAGCAGCATGTTAAAACAGTAAGGTACACATACTTATAAAACAAATTTATAAGTAGTGACCAGGAACATTCAACATGCTCCAGCAATGAATGGAAATAAATATAATGCTTGTAGATAAGAATAGATGATAATGTGCAAACAAGTTACACAATCATGACCTGCTTTTGCCTCGGAAGCAGATTCTGGCCTTACACATGGAATTTCTGCACCATTTAAACAAGCTCATATCAGCTCTGATTAATTAAACCAAAAAAATGGCAGCCTACGAAAATATACAATAATAATATGTGATAACAATACTCAATTGGGAACAAAGGAACCAAAACTTAGGATTGACTTCTGAAATTCCAACTGAAAAAAATTAAAGATTCGAAATTACAAATTTGGTGATCTAAAACTTATTTCAGCAAAGTGTTTCTTGGCCTGCACTAGTTCAATTATTTAACAGACTGGATGAGAGCTGGTATCAATGTGGATTTTTCTATTTACCAACTTTACATAATGCAAGAAGCAGTGTGGAATTTTCATATCACTTCGATTAACAAGTTATAGCTCTATTTAACTAGATCTTAATAATAGCATGGGCTCGTAGATTACTCATTCAACACATCAGTTTTGCTTTCTTTTCAATTTAGGTAAGTTCTCACTATCAAATCAAATCTGCCGGCCGTAGCTGTAGCAACACAACTATTTGAAAATCGATATGCGAACAAGTTATTGATCTAATTAATGAGATCATAGTAACAAAAATTGGCTCCTATATTACTCATTCGACGCATCTGTTTTCAGTTTTACTTTCTTTTTAACTTTAGGTTAGTAATATTCCGGTCGTAGATGTAGCAACACAATTATTCCAAAGAATATATATATTTTTTTATTATATATGAAATCCGCTAGGATTTTGCATACCTTTGTGCTTCTTGAAACAGATCAAAGAGCAACTGCGAGTCCACAAAGAACGATAAAACAATGATTTATTCATCATAATAACTGAAAAGAAAAGGGAAAAAAAAAAGAAAAAGAAATCTGAAAGCAATTGAATAAATGGAAACTCTAGAGAATGTTGAGAGTATTGGTGAGCTTACTAAGGGATGAGGCAGGCCGGACACTTGTACTTGGATTGTGATCCGTCGCACACTTGACACTTTCTCGGTCCCATTATTGATTCCTCTTTATTACCGCCCTATTATTGCAGTTGCAGAGGGAGAGAGAGAGACTGACTGACTACCTTAGCTTTTGACGAAGCCTCTGAGAGAGATCTCTTCTTCTACTGATTCGAGTACTGGCCGCCTATCGTATCGTGTGTGATATTGGGGAGGAACACAGAAAGAGTGCTGAAACTGAACGCATTTGGTAATAACCGACTCCGAATGGTCCCAATTTCGCTGAGTACTGGAATTTAACGGGTTCTAAATGTTTTGGGCTTCGGCCCACACTGAAACCAAGCCCGAGTTATAAGAAAACAAACTCCATTAACTCGCGATCAAAACATATCCTAATTGTATGGGGATATTCTATATAATAACACTAATGTTATTGGGACATAATTTAGTGATATAATTTAGGGACATAATGAGTTGTCACCAATAAAATGATAGTGAAATGTATTTAATGATAGGTCTTATTGTAACATCAAATGAATTTATTATCATATCATTGATGACAACTTATTATGTTTGTAAATTATGTCCCAATAGCATTCCTCATATAATAAAGTAGTTTATAATTCAAATCTCAAAAGACAAGGTCCCGTTTGGTAACATTTATATTTTTCGTTTTTCATTTTTATTTTGATATTTAAAGAAAACAAGAAAAAAAAATTCGTTTGATAACCGTTTTTTTTTCTGTCATCATTTTGTAAACGACTGGCGATTTTCAAAAACGAGAAAAAAGATGTTTTTCGTTTTTTAGAAAATCAAAAACTGTAAACGTTACCAAACGAGGCCTAAACAAAATGATTTTTTTTATTCGCGGTTGAGATTTTTTTAAATTTTACTTTAAAGTTAATCTAACAGCTAATATTAAGACCCAAATTTTTTTTTTTAAAAAATAGTGTTTGAAACCGTCTCAGTATTACCTCTACCACCACCACCACCCTGCCACCCCCCTCCACCACCGCCACCACCACTGTCACCTACCACCTCTCACCCCTACTACAAACCAAAGTTCAAATTCTTTTATTTCTTCTCTATAGTTGTGATTTGATTTTGAATATGAATACAAATATATTTATTGTTTACCATTTTTTATTATTTTATACCTTCAACCTCAGACAATAACTATATATATATATAGTTCAACGAAAACAATAGATAAAGCGCCTTGATTTTTAATTATTCACATTTACTTGGTGAAAGATCATCAGCGCGATGGGGGGGGGGGATGCAAGATACCTAGAACCTCAATGTTTCTTGAGTAATATTATACTTATCAAATTTACATCCCAAAGGATATGATATAATTTTTCATCATCAAATAAATAAGTTCCGTTAATATTTAATGATAAAAATTACGCCACATTATTAGAGATGAAAGATTTGCTAACCATAACATTTTCCATGTTTCTTAGTTCTAGTCGTTCCTTTAAAAACCCACACAATCTTTAGTTTGAACTTTGAGGCAACCCCATGAATTGCTTTTTTATGGAATAGGTGTAGGTGCACCTACCCAGAGATGAAATCCAGACATCCTCCTCACCTTTGGAGGAGGGGAAACAATGCAAAAGTTATCTACGAAGGAACATGACAGAACCAAAGTGCGACAAGGACTTTCCAATACCACCTCCATGCTCAATGTGTTCCAACTATTAGCGTGCTAGTTAAGGTTGTCACGAGTGACTTACCACTGGAATAGAACTGCCATTCTTCCCACCAGTGAAGTAATGAACACGAGAAACAAGCAGTTCCAATGCTTCATCACAACATTAATGATCGATATAGCACATCAGAGACGTGTATTCTGTCTGGAATTTGCAGCTCCGTCTGACCCAACCAACGAATAAGATCCAAAAGGCAAGTTCATCAATATAATAGGATGACTAGTAAATAAATCAGATTGGTTTGCAAACAGAACTTCCATCGTTTGCAAAGGATGGCAAAATCATTGTAACACTTGGAGCTTAAAAAGAAGCAGCAGCAAAGCGAAATTTGATATGGAGAAACAAGTAAAATACATGACCATGTCCCCAAAGAACAAGGCTATTTTTACATGTAGAGTCCTTCCGGAACCCCCTCTTTCTTCTTGAACATAACCTTATCTTTTGCCTTCTTGAAATCTGGATGTGTCACCTGAAACGAATGAACAATTATGTCAGGCAACTAAGTCTAGGTAACAATCCAGTCAAATGACTGCCAGCAGCATTTGAATGGCAGGACATAGTCATACGTTGGACGGAAGTTAACTCAGATGAAACATCTTGTATACTGAAGATTGATCAGCTTTCAACATCATCACTCTCAAGAACCATTGAAAGATTTACCTCTAGTTTTCTTTCTTCCTCTTGTTTCTGATCCTATAGATTTTTTCACTTAAATTGGGGGACGGGTATCCATAAACTACATACTATGTACTACTTTTCTTTTTGATCTTCTTCTTTTATTCTTTTAATTTTGTTGGACACTGATTCTAATTTTAAACTTCTACCAGCTTCAGATGAGACAATGATATGAACCACCTTCTTCAACATCTCCTACCTGTTTGACAAAAATACGAGATCTAACATTGCAATTCAACACACAATTCCAACCCAAACTATTGTCACCATAGGATGAAGGCAACACTCCACAAGCCACAATCCGAATGCATGTTGATTACGTCTTAAGCAGCAAAAGAAAACTTTTTTGTACAATTTAATTCTAGAAATCATGCGCTCAAAAAACAATATCTAGAAATCACAATCAACAAAGAACCATTAATGCAAATGTTTGTTAATTATATAATCAAACTGGGCCTCACCTTCATTCTACGCTCTCTTAAAGCAAGCAAACCAGCTTCAGTACATATTGCCTTGATGTCAGCCCCAGAAAACTCATCCTTAGTCATAACAAATTCTTCTAAGTTGACATCATCAGACAAAGTCATCCTTGAAGTGTGTATCTGCATTGCACAAAGAAAAGATTTGTCAACCAAAACTGAAAAATGATTATCAAACAATTAAAAAGGAATGATGAGCACTACTAGTATGACAACATAATCATCCCATGCACCTGGAAAATGCGCCTCCTTGTTTTGATATCAGGAAGAGGAAATTCGATCTTCCTATCTATTCGACCAGGCCGAAGCAGTGCAGGATCGAGGCTTTCAATTTTGTTTGTTGCAAGAATCACCTTGACATCCCCTCTTGAATCAAAACCATCTAACTGGTTCAGAAGTTCCAACATGGTCCTCTGAATTTCACGTTCACCACCTGAATGGGCATCATACCTGTGGACGATACTCCATTAAAACCCCCTATCCAGATATTGCTTTCAAACCAACCATGTTCATGACCTTACCTTTTTGTACCAATTGCATCAATTTCATCAATGAAAACAATTGAAGGTGAGAGATCATCAGCAACTCTGAATAGTTCCCTGACTAATTTTGGACCATCTCCCAGATACTTCTGAATCAGTTCACTTCCAACAACTCGTAAGAAAGTTGCTGATGTAGAATTTGCTACAGCCTGAAAGACACAAAAGGTACTTACAAGCTAAGGAAAGAATATGATACAGGCACCCTTGCAATTAAGCATAGAGGACACTGGTACAAAGCATTTGGTATTAGCTCTCAAACAATCAGAACAGTAATTGGAAAAAATTAAAGCAAGCAGGTTACTACAATACACAAAGGCTTAAACTGGTGACCTTACTACCCCTTCATGGCACTATTTAGTTCGAGTTAGTCGCACTGCAAACCTTTTTTTAAAAAAGGACACAACACTAGATAATCTATTTGTCATGCTTATTGTTATAGTCACACAATTTTTCTAGACCCTTAGGTTGGAGGTGATTCAAAGGTGAGATGAAGAGACATCAAAGAACTCCTCACATTGTTTACAATAACTTCAACTTACACGCTACTACAAAGAAATAATAGTAGAGTCTAATAATCAAAAAATAACAACTGAAAGCAATGAAGCAAGTCAAATAAAAAGGGCTCAAAATATCCAAGATAAGCTCTAAACTGCAACTTTGCGGCCTTTTTTGTAATCCACAAAACCATTTGAACACCACCTATCAAATTGCAATTCCAGATGTGAATTACATGCAGGCCTCGCGTCTCCCAAAAATTCCATCAAATTTTTTTTTCAAACACTTGATCCTATCAGAGTTTGAAAAGCACTCATCGTGTGAACTCTCTCTGAAAATAAAGATTTCAAATGCGGGCTCAGTAAAAGCCCAACAAACCTTGTCCAAATTCGGCTCATAAGTCATACTGATACAAAGGTAGGGCGAGCAACTTGTCCTCAACTTATAGTTGGACTGACTTCATAAAACAAGGTTGTAAGATGGCTCTTTGTAGCTCTTACCAGATTCTAGAGATAAAATGACAAGGCGATACATGAATGTTTTCCATTCACTCTGTCTCGATACATGTGAAGCAACAGACATGTTGAACAAATTCTTGTGTTACTAGGGTCAAGACCATGGTTATCACAATTCATTAAACCCTTAACGACCCACGATCTGGGTACAACGATCCCAAACGAGGTGGGTTCGCAATCCAGATCACCAAAATAGACAACCCCAAATTGTAATACTAAACTTAAATTAATTCGCTTTAGAACATGTAGCACATATATAAAATACATATTAACTGACTACATGTATATAAATTTATAATTATACATTGTTTTAAATAATAGAAAATCAAGCATAACTATAAGATAAATGATAACTAAATTTGTGTTTATGAATATTCTGTAATATATAATGTTGTACAGTAGTGAAAACGATCTACATAAAAGTTCCAAAACAAATTGCGATTCAAAATACCGTACCAATTAAACATACTCTCATCTTATCGTGTACCTAAGAAAGTGTTGTACCATGTTTTAGTACCTGTGTCATGTACCAAAACGACCCACGATCTAGGTAACATTGGTCAAGACTACAACATTGGTCAAGACTACAGGATATTCATCTTGCAAAGGAAAAAGGTAAAGTTTATTTGCAATTGATTTCAAGTGAGCATCCCCTAAATTATAGTATAATACTAAGTGTCCTATTTAGCAGTGGACTTCAGACCAGCCCTGCCCTCGGAAATATGACCATGTTGCTTTCTGCATTCAGACCTGGATTTTCAGACAACAAAGCAGGTTGTACACTTGAATAGCATTTTTCGTAGTTAAGAATATAAAAAACTTGCAACAGGACACTATCTGCAACCAAATCAAACAAAACCTGAGCTCTTCAATCATTCCATGCTACTAGATCATAATCATTGCCTTGCATTCTTCTATACATTCAATGGATAATGTCTTTCAGTAAATTGAAAACGTTGTGATTTAGTGCATTGCGTGTTAAGTTTTAACCCATTGTTATTGGTTCAATATTTGTAAAGTATCACATTATGTAACGGAGATCTCTTTGAGGTTTCTTGTAGACAACTGATGCAGTACTGGAGTGATGACTGACTTCATACATAGCTAAGATGACGATGAATCCATACATTTTTTATGCCATAAAATGCATCTGGAAAGTTTTGATTACGATATTCAGAATCCCCAACCTTTTTTCTAAGAGAGTAACAGCCAACTTGAACTTCGATAGGTAATCATTATATCTTCTATTTAATTACCTCATAGATTGACGTGGATCACTTTTGAAACAATTTACCTGTTTTATAGTTCCCCGGTGTACGGAAAGTTCATAAAATACCATGTATTATTTCAATAAGTAAATAATCAAATTAATAATTCATTGCTTCATAACATGAACCCCACACCTTGGGCCCAAGCTGCATGCTTTTGGTTAGTGAAAGACCCCTACTAAACATGCATAAAAAAATTGACCAAACTATCATAGTTTTGGTCAAAATTGTGTAATGAGTGCATCAGGATTTACTTCTGACTTAATTACCTATGCTTCAACAAAGGTGGAAAGTATAATTTTGTAACAAAGCATAGCATTGATCTCTAATCACACAAGAGAGACAATGCAATAACATAGCATCGTATTGCTCTATGATCATCCACAAAGGAAACGCGGCCAAAGGACATAATCTACAACTAAGTCGCACTTTCAAAAACTTTTATGTAATTGCAACACTCCATGAAGAAAATAGAGTAACAACAGCCGAACACACAAAAAAAAAATACACACCTTTGCAAGTAAGGTCTTGCCTGTTCCTGGCTCTCCATAAAGTATCACCCCTTTAGGAGGCTTGATACCAATGTCTTCATATAATTCAGGGTGTGTCAGGGGAAGCTCGACTGCTTCTTTGATTTCCTGTATCTGGGCGTCTAACCCACCTATATCAGCATATGATTCCAATGGAGCTTTCTCGACTTTCATTACAGAAACCATTGGATCAACTTCATCTTGAAGAAGTCCAACGACAGAAAGAACCTGAGAAGGGGCCATAGATGATATAAAAACCTTTCTTCACAAAAACATTTTGCTAGCTTAAAAAGGATGTGAAGCAAACCACTAGGCTACATGACCAAATGGAAATAATTTCTCCATGGAGGAAGGTACATAAAGCCTTATGATAGATTGGTTGCACAAACATTAACTGAAAATAGCATCTCTTCTGTTCCTTCATACAAACTTCCAAATCTCATCAAGTACTTCTTTAGAGTTTTGTGGCTCATGAATATGGAATTTCATCGGATGCATGGAAGCCAATGAGTAAGAACTCAAACAAGTACTTAATAGGACTTCAAAAACTTAAATAAACGCGAAAAACTTGATGCAATAGTATCCACGTTATTTTCCCTGAATGTACAGTTCTAAACTGCCATCTACGTAGTAACACTCAATCTCCAAGCCACTTGATGACTTTATAGTTCTGCTTTCAACTGCATATAGCAACAAGCAATATTATATTCTCAAGCTAACACAGGACAAATGTTTTACTGGAGAAAGTTCTTGCATTCATTTCTTTATTCCTATGGAGGTTCCAAATTACATCAAGATTTGCATGCACAATAAATGTAATAATCCTCATAGTCTACCAGTACTCTAGTCACTGTTACCAATTGCACTCATACTCTAGATTTTTGGAAGGTCATCAACATAGTTTGTGAATAGCAATAACAAAGTTGCGTAGTACATAACAAAACATCTGAATAAGTAAGAACAGGCTCTCTATAGAAATCATTGGAGTTAATAGTTTGCACCAAATAACAGGATCAAAAAAGCTATGGTCAATTTTGAATGTCTAGCAGCCCAAAAAAAAAATGAAAAAAATACAAAACAGCCATGAATTGACTCTTCCACCTCACCAAAAGATTACCTATCATGTTGTGAATGACCAGTACTTACATCAACATGAATGCACAAATCATGCTAACGAACTACAGACAATTCAGAAAAAAAGGGCGCTTCTAAATCATATCCATAAACTACGGCAGATAATAATAAGTCCAGAATAACATTTGGGCCGTAGATATGTAAAACGAGCTTCCATATATACTAAATTCATACAACCCAAATAAATGCACATACCATTTCTTAACACTGAGTTACGAATTCTTATGAATCCATATTCAGTATTTAGACTAGTTCTACTAAAACCCTAAGCTCTACCTTCTCCTGAAATCACAAACCTAACATTAGATCCTTAACCTAACTCAGTAATTAGAAACACAGTTTCCCACTTCCTCAGAAAATTTCATCCGAAAAATAAACACTAGACCAACCGTCTAAAACCCAAGTCTTGAATTACGTATCGCAATCACTTACCTACACAATTACAAATGATTTTTCAAGTCTCATAAAATCGCAATTCCAAACAATAAGGTCTAAGCCTAGCTCGACAATTCAAAATGTTAAAAACCCAATTACTCAATCAAAAGAAAATCCTAACCCTAGCCCAACAATCCAAAACCCAAACTTCATTATCAGTTTTCAAATCAAAACCATTACCTTATTATGCATCAAAATTGCACAGCCAGGCTCAAGCTGATCCTTATCAACGAACGACAAAATCCCCACATAATATTCCGGCCCCACCGATGACGACACGATGGCGTGGTTCTCATCAATCAATTCCTCCAGATTCCCAACGCTCATCGGAGACCCACGCAGATCGTCGACCTTGGATCGATCTTCTTCGGTCTTCTCTTCTTGAGGTTTCAGTCTCTCTTGATTGGTCACGAACTCTTCTTCCATCAGAAGATAGTCCTTTATTCGCTCCAGCTTCAGCAGTCTCAGCTTGCACTTCGTCAGAGGCGTTACCGTCGGCAGACGAGCAGCCGCCTCCGGCCCCTTCTGTTTTCGCTGCTTGCGGCCGACTCTTGCCGGTGGCGCCGCCGGTTCGAATTTTTTCTCTTTCTTGTCGCCATCGTTTTTCCGGTCGCCGGGTAAGCCTTGCCGGTTCAAACCTCCGGATGGTCCCTGACCCATGGTGAAGGGAGGTGTGAGAGAGAGGATCGAGAGAACTGGGGTTTGGAATTTCTGCCGAGTGTCTTTCTTTTCAAGAAACAAGATAGACATTCACACATCAAGAGTATGTCACGTGCAATGAACATGATGTAATGTGCTTACGGCTCACGCTTAGGATGGCGGTGGACCGAAACGGTAACGGAGAGATGTGCTCTCCATCTTCCTGTTTATAAAAATTTTGTTTATCTCTAGTCCATTCTGTTTATAAAAATTTTGTTTATCTCTAGTCCATTCTGTTAATGGGTATATTTTTTATCTCTATTCTTATTTGTGGATAAATTTGTAATCTCCGCTCTCACCCCATCAACTCTCACATTCTTATTTTTATAGAACAACGTAATTATGTTTTGAAATATTAATATATGTAATGATGTAAGCATGAAATATGTAGATTATAAGAGTATAAATAAAAATGTTAGTTGAGCTAATAGGATATGTTATAAAAGTTTAGAAATTTTTTTAAGTTCAAACGCATTTTAGATAAAATTTAGGTATAAAGAATTTTGGACACTATCTAGTATTTGGATTATAATTTTTTATCTTGATTTCCATTTGATTTGAAATTTGGACAGTAAATAATAGACTTACAGAGCTACAAAATAATATTTCACGGAAATTTTTCAAATCGACTTATAAATAAGTCAAAACTTCACTGAAAAATTTAGCAGAAACTGAAAGGACATTCGAACGTGAATGGACGTTCGAATGACAGTTTGTCGTAGTACTTTTGTGTCTGATAGAACTCTGATGGCAAAGTAAAATTACTGAAAGCAACTAACGCTCAAACGTCAAAGTGACGTTCAATCGTTAGTTACGAATTCTGACTTTCAGATTCCTGCACAGGAGACCATTTCACCCTTTATAAATACTCAATGACACCTTCATTAGCCTCATTTCAACATTTATAGTCCTAGAGAGGCTTATAGAGGAATAAATAAGGGAAAAAAAATATAACATCAAGAAGGATTTGCACATTAAAAAAGATCATAACTTCTAATTTTTCAAAAACATTAAGAAGAAGAAAAGTATGTGTTTCCTTTCATTCTTGTCCATTGAGGTTATGACATATATATATGTATGTTTTGACTCTCAATCCTATATATATGATATGAAATTATTATTTCTTGATGCTCTTGCAAATATTACCATATTTTGAAGGAAGTTATGGTTGGATAGCCATGAAATCTCTTCTCATTGTCTTGAAAACCCTAGTTTTAAAAAAAAATAAGTTTTTCTCTCAATATTTTTTTATTCTTGATTTTAAAACTCTAGTACTTGTTATTGAACAATAAAATGGTATTTTTTATGGTCTATTGCATATTTTTTTAAATTGTTCTATTGGAATAATACATATAGAATTTGGAATTTTTTGAATTTGTTTATGATTTGAGGAAAATTAGTTTGTATTGTATCTCCTTTGGATGTTTGGATGACTATGAGTGATTATTAATTAGATATCGTAAAGTAGTGTAGATGTATTTCTTACTCCGTATAAGTTTGAAGGTTCCCTACCACTCGTAGTAGGGTTAGTATCTTGCGAGAATCAAATCATTATTCGTTCACGTGGTATTGAGGTTGAGGGTTAGTATACTATTCTTGGTTTGGATTCATCATTATTAATACGTTGGTATACGCCCTTCCTAAAGTTGGATATCCTTGCGAGAATTAGGTGTGTGTGTGTGGGCTAGGATATTCTCGATGTATTTATTCATGCGATGTCATACATCATACTTGATATACATTGTGGGTAATGGTACAAATTGTGGGTTATTATTTGTTGTTGTGAAAATAGTTTATGACAAGAACTTGTTAAAAATGGTTTATGGTTGAAAATAACTTATTATTGGGAATCGGTTTTATTTCTTTATTTAATTTATTGATATTGCTTAAACTTGAGATCGGATAAACTGTTACTGTTTTCTTTCAAAAATTATATATGATATTTCTAAAATGAGATCGACTTGTTTTATATGTTTTCAAATCTTTATCCAAGTTTGTGAGAATTTTTCTACAGAGTTTAGTGCTCACCCCTATAAACAATATTTATTTTCAGATTTCGATTTAGAAGAATAGTTCTGAGGTGACGAACATGTGAATCCGGAGGAGGATGTCTAAAATTGTTATTTTTATGTACTAAACTAGGAGTTTTTTTTCGAGATATTGTTACGCTGCGAGATAATAATTTGGGAATATTGGGCGTAACTGTCATAGTTTGACATATTTTTTTTGATGTAATGGTCATGATTTGACATATTCTTTTGAATGATATTGTATATATTATGGATGATGAATAAATTTTTCTTTACTTATGGATCTTATTAGTAACTTTCATGATGTGAATAGTTTTAGACAGCAATACCGTCCAAGGTGGATTTTGGGGCGTTACATTGCCGCCCCGTCTCGTTCCCCGCATCGCCCCCGCCACCGCTTATGTCCACCTTATCTGCTTTAGTCCAAGCCAACATAATCCAAAATTCTAAATGAAATGTAATATTTTAAATAATTTAACATAATTATAAAATATCATAACATAATTAAAAGCTTATCATTTACAATATACTCCAATATAATATAATCAAAACTTTGTCTCCCATATAAATCCTACATAATATAATATAATATAATTCAACATACAAAAATATAAAAATCTACATTTTTATGAGCCAAAAACATGAAGGAAAAAAAAGACAAAAAACAAAACAATTTTCAAAAAAAAAAATCATGCAATGATATGTAGATTTGTATTAACAACATGTATATATAAAACATAATAATAATAATAACGGGTAAAGCTGGGGCGGGGGTGGGGCAGGAGTAAGTGTTAGTCCATTCTCGCTTTCATCCCCGCACGTTTACATGGGTATCCCCGTATACATCAATCATCTAATACATATGGTCCATCCCCGATCTAAACGGAACGAGTTTAGACAAATACTCATTTTTATCCGGTTCATTGTCATCCCTACTTACGCCCTTAACCTTCCAGGGTATTTTTGTAATTTTTTACTAAAATATTATAATCTTCAATTTACTTATCCAACTATCATTTTTTTGGTAAAAATATATTAAGTAAATTACACTTTACCACATTAACCTTTCATGGTATTTTTGTAATTTTTTACTAAAATATTATAATCTTCAATTTACTTATAAAACTATCATTTTTTTAGAAAAAATATATTGAGTAAATTACACTTTATCCCTTTGAACCATTATCCTTATTTTATTTTATATCCTCAACTATAAAATTTCTCACATTGCACATTAAATTATTAATTTTATTTCTTATTACTCAAATAAGTAACAACAAACTTGAAAATCTATCAAATGAAATAGAGAAATCCCAAAGAGCTTTCTGTTAAGTGTCTAGTATGAATTTAGTTTACATTTTTTGCAACCAAATGGTAGTTAGGAAGAAAAAGAAGGTCGATCAAATAAATAAATTTTGGAGTTTAGAAAGGGTAAAATTATGGATAGGTATTTTTCTTATTTTTGACTTGTATATGTGCAATAAGCAGTTATTTATTGGCAGTACAAACCAATCAGTTAAAATTGATACTTTAGGGTGCAATGTAAAAAAATTTATAGTTAAATGTATAAAGTGAAACAAAGGTACTCTCTCCATTCTTAAATATCTGTCGTTTAATGAAATCAAAACATAATTAATATTTTTTCTTCCAAATTTACCTTTAACTTTTCAATGCATTAAATTAAGTGGAGGCTAAGTGCCTTTCATATTCCTTTCCTTCCCAATACGTATTGAATAAGGGTATTTTAGTCTTGTGTAATTATTTTATACTCATATTAGAGCTATTTAATAGTTTCCTTAATTCTTGTGTAAAAACCTTAAACGATAGATATTTAAGAACGGAGAGAGTAATATTTTAAGGGATAAAATATAATTTACCCAAATATATTTGCAAAACAAGGCACACTTTCACTCAAAAATAATAGCTAAGTAAATAAGTTTAAAAATTGATTTAAAAAACCCCTATTTTTTTAGAATTTCACTTTCCTTTTTGTGTATTTCAATTGTTTTATTTTATTACATTTTTTACTTTCCATTCAACATCTTGTTTTCTTGTCGGTTAGACTTCAACTAAAAAATTTATTACTATTTTCGAGCATACAACGGACATCCATATCTCAATCAAATGAATTAAGTGAGATTATACCACGAATCACCTTTGACATTCAGGATCTAATAGGAAAAAAAAAATTTAACTGATTAAGAGGCGAATAAGTGGGGATTTGTTTGCTTGCTGGCTAACTTGTGCAATCAATGACAAAATCGTTCTAAGTTAGAGAGTTAAGCAAGTCTGGTTCTCCCGAGCACTACAGTAAACACATAGATTGATCATTATGAGAATGGAGTCCATAATAACATAATAAGATGAACAAGCTATGAATTTCATTTAAGTGGGTAAGATAAGGATTTAATTTGATCATGTATTATCTCTTGATCAAATTAGAGGTAAAAATTAATAAAGTTCATCATTCAGTGAAGAAGTGTTTCTAAAAAAAAAAAGCATCACCTAACCAGTGACAAATTTTGATGGAATCTCACTCAAAGACGAAAGGTACACGTGTTAATACGCTACGACAGACACAGTTGATCAAATCAAATTAACCTTTAGCCAACCAAACAACCAAACCTGCAAACACATTGAATTCGATTCCGATCAACAACTTGGATGTATAGTTGAGTGACTTAAAGCATTGATTTGCCAAACCGACATTAAAGAAGATTGTATCATGAGCATGAAGCTCATTTCTTCCGGCACAAAAATGAAAGGGACAGGGTAAAATTACACAAAAAAAGAATCTCTCGTGATAGAGTTCTATCGTTTAAGAAAAAATATGAAGATAGTGTACCACAAATTGAAGAACCAGGTCTAATAAGAACTAACATGGTCTACATATGACGGGCCATAGTAAAGTAACTTCATATAGCGTGGGTAAGATTCAACCACCTCAGGTCCTCATCCATCAATAAAAGGAGATCTCTTTGTGTTAAATTATAGTATTTCTTTTTTCTTATCACGCAGCTAATGTGTTATTCGATGTCCAATTTTTTTTTGCTCACTTTCAAGTTTGAAAGAATCTGGTTCTTGGCCCGCCTAATTTGGTGTAAAAAC